TCCCAAATACCAAGCAAGAACGCTTTCATGCCCACTAAGATACCCAAGGCCTTTCACAGGGTGGCCTCATGGCCTTTCCTGCCTCCTCTTCCATTATTCCTCTCTATGTCCTCTCATAAGTTGTCCTGGCCTCTTCTCTGCTCCCCAAACACACCCAGAGGTCTCCTGCCTCCATGCATTTGCTCAAGTTGTTTCCTCTGCCTAGAACATCCTCCCTTTCCCTTTGCCTTTTGCTACCCAGTTTATTGAACCAGCTTTTGAAACCTCAAGGCTTCCACAGAAGAAGCAAACCACCCAATAAGGCTAAAAGAATAGGAACACACACACACACACACACACACACACACACACACACAGGATTTCAAAGATGATCCTAGTTTCATCCTGGCCTTGGCTTACATAGCCACAGCTCTGTCCTCACTATTCCTAAACAGTATGAGAGCAGAGAGCATCATAGGGCTAGAGCAGGAAGGGACCTCAGAGGCCAGGGACGCTAATTCCTTCATTTTTTAGAGCAGGAAACTGAGTCAAAGAGACAGGAAGTGATAAGATTATAGCTCTGAAGCTGGAAGGGACCAAGGGAGGACCATCAACTCGATACCCTTATTTTATTTTATTTTTAAAAATTTATTTTACTAAATATTTCCCAATTACATTTAAAAAATTTTTCAACATTCATTTAAAAAATTTTTGAGTTCCAAACTCTCTGCCTGGCTCTCACCCCTCCCCCACTGCTTGGGAAGGCAAGCAATGGCTATTGTCTTTCTTAACCGAAGAGGACCAAAAAGACGTCACTATGTTAGGGTCAATGTAAGCTCAAATCACTCTGGCTCTCATTGATTGGTCAACAATAGGTCCCAGGCCAAACTCCACTGGGCGATTGTTTGGGCCCTGATTGGCTTAGAGTGAATGTAAATAGCAATTGTTTCTGTTTTGGCCAGAAACCCTGAGGGTCTTCCCCTCCCAGATTAATTTTTTTTTTTTTTGGACTAGGTAATAGAGGCCATTCTCTGCTTCATTTCTTACCTGACCTTAATCACTGAATGGGTGTTGCCTCAGTCAAACTGAGACCTGGCAAAGACCTTAGCTTAAAAAGACCAAGGTCTCCCTCAATACCCTTATTTTGCAAATAAGGGACCAGAAAACCAGAAAGAGTTGTGACCTGAATATAAACTTGTAAATCTGTAATCCTATAATCCTTGAGAACTGAAACTATCATATTTGGTCAACTATGGATGGAATGCCATAATTCCTGGATTCAGGAAGACTGGAGTTCAGATTTGGCCTTAAACACTTACCAACTGTATGACCCTGGGCAAGTCATTTAACCTCTGTTTGCTGCCTTTCCTCATCTTTTATAGATTTTATATTTTTGCATCTCCCTCCCAAGGTTGTTGTGAGGATCAAAGGAGATAATTGTAAAGTACTTAGCGCAGTTCCTGGCACACAGTCAGCTCTATATAAACGTTAGCCCTAATTGTTTTATTATTTTTGTATTGCTAGCACTGTGGAGCCTTAATAAATGCTCGTTGATTGATTGTCACACAGTCAAGGATAAAGCAGGGCTTTTAATATGAAGTCCAGACTTTAAATTCCGCCTACACTTCTGCCATTGAACCACTGAGATAGCTGGGATCTATCCCTTCCATTTAGGCAGCAGGCAAACCCCCCTTCTTCCCCAGCCCAACCCAGCCCCCAAGGGAAGAGAGCTGACACTTCCAAAACTAAGGCAGTGGGCCTATACCACACTTATACCAGGACAGCCTCCACACTTGGATAACCTAGGGCACATCAAACCCTAGCAGCAATAAAACAGAAATGGGTCCAACGGGGTTTCATTCAAACATTTGATTTGTTTCCTGCCTCTGAAGTCACCGGCAGGGAGGGGCTGGGGAATGGCGAAGGGATGTCTCTTGAGCCTACAGCAGGGGGCTGGGAGCTTAAAGCACAGATTCAATTCCAGATATGGAGTGTTCTGGAAACACAGCGGCCTGAGGTGCTGGCCGGCAGGAGGGCGTGTGTTTGGAAGAGGAGGCCTTTTTCCAGAAAGGCTAGACCTTGATTTGGACTGCTGCACCACCTATTGCTTACATCCTAATTCAAATATCCCCTCCTATAAAACGCCCTTCCCCAATTCTCCCTTCCACTCTCCTCCCTACCCCCAAGCTTTCTCCTTGGACTTTATTTTTAACTGTATCTTATACTTTCCATATAAAGACACCTCTGCTGGTGTCTTAATCAAAAACAAATTTATTAAGCACTATTATGTGCCAGGCACTAGAAATACTAAAATAAATGTAAAGAGCCCTTTTCTCAAGGACCTTAACAATTATGGGAAAAACACACCTTATCCCCCTATTAAACTATACAGAGTGGACATGGGAGTTAGAGATGGTGAGGGATCCAGGATGACTCCTAGGATAGGAGGCTGAAGGTCAGGGAGGAGAGTGATGCCCTTGACAAGGGAAGGAGCAGGGAGGGACACATGGTTTGGGGGACAGATGAGGAGCTCTGTTTTGGATATGGTCTACTGGGCATGTAGTTTGAGATGTCTGAAAGGCAGATGGAGATGAGAGATTGAAGGTCATCAGAGAGATTGGGGCAGGAAAGGTAGATTTGATGGTAGATGGTAAAGCTTCTCAGCAGACTGGCTAAACTCAGTTAAGGGTAGTTGACAGGGCTTGAACCTGTAGGTGAGTTAGGGGATGCGTAACCCAAGCATGAGAAGACCTCCCAGCAGAAGAGGTGGATGAGAACAATGTGTTCCAATATTGAGGGTGCCCAGCTTACCCACTGCCTCCTGGGCCATCTCTAGTCACTTTGGGTTTTGTCCAGCCACTGGGCTTCCATGAAGAGAGAGTGAGGCTGGTGACTTTGTGCAGCTCTGCCTCACTTAAATCCAATTCATGTGGGAGTCAAGAGCACCCCATGACAGGGAAACAAAAGACAAACAAAAAGCTTCATGAGGGCAGAGATGTCTTATGAAAACCTTGAATTTCCTCAGACCCTAGCATGCCAAATGCCTTAAAATGTTTGTGGAACAAATGAATGACTGCTGTTGAATGGGAAATGTCAGTCAATCAAGTAGCATTTATTAAGCACCTACTACATACCAGACCCTGTGTTAAAGGGTGAGAATACAAAGAAATATGAAAGACAGGGGCAGCTAGGTGGTGCAATGGATAGAACACCAGCCCTGGAGTCAGGAGGATCTGACTTCAACTTCCACCTTTACTAGTTGTGTGACCCTGGGCAAGTCACTTCACTCTGTTTACCTCAGTTTCCTTATCTGTAAAATGAACTGGAAAAAGATATGGCCAACCACTCCAGTATCTGCCAAGAAAACTCTAAATGGGGACACAAAGATTTGTCCCTTTGCAAGAAGTCTTTCCTGGTCCTCCTTAATCTCACTCCTTTTCTTCTGAAACTATACCCAATTTATCCTCTACCTATCTTATTTTTACGGTTATTTTCATGTACCGTTATTTTCATATGCTCTCCTCTGTTAGAATGGGAGATCCTTGAGGGATAGATAGGACTGGTTTGGATGCCTGTTTTTCCCTTTCTTTGTCTCCCCACCTGTGGCTGACACACAGTAGGTGCTAATAAGCTTGACTTGGTTGGAATCTCAGCTCTGTTATTTAAAAGTTATTTGACCTTGGGTAAATCACAACTTTCTAGTTTGGTTTGGTCATCTGTAAAAAGAGGTTAATACTTGCAAAGGACCATTGTTTGGAATTTTTTTTAGCCTTATCTTGTAGCTATGTTAATTACATTGTAATATTTTCTTAAGGCAGGGTACTCCCAGTATTGAAGCACTTTCCATCAAAGCAATTTGTCAACCCATGTGTAATTTAGTATTAAGAGCACTCCAGGTGTGGAAACTTCCTGACAATGCAGATGGGTAATTTCTTTATAATTTAGAGTGTGCAGTGTTGCTTTGAGGCACAGAGAGATTGAATGCTGGCCTGCACACAGTTAGTGTGTGTTAGAGGCAGGAGACTGGATCCCTAGCTACTGCTGCTTGGCTACATTGTGACAATATACTATATGCAATACAATACAATATACTACATACACGTTATTCTGTAGACTATAGGTTTGTAGTTTCTTGAACTGAATCTGAATTTGTATGCCGTATGCAAAATGATTGGAAGCAGGGAAACCAGGAGGCCATTAAACAAATGCATAAATGAATGAACATATAATTTTTAAAATACATAAATACATTTTACTATATTATTAAATGTATTTCATGTTTACAAATCTAAAAACACATATCCATATATTCTTCCACTACTCTAACGTTGGGAGAGGGGCATCAATGGGGAGGGCCTCTGGGGGGTGAGCTTAGCAGCTACTCCATGGCTTCTTAACTTGGAGCCCACGGGCACCAAGGGCTCTGGGCATAGATTGTGAACTTTTAAAAACTTTTGCTATTTATTTTGATAACTCCATTTAAATATAATTGGTTTCCTTCCTGACCATACGTATTCAATGCATTTTTACAAAAAGCATGATTCTGAGGAGGGGTCCAAGGCTCAAAGAAGATGAAGGACCCCTGATTTCCAGCAGCTCAGGGAGGTTTTTAGGAGTGGGACCTCCCAAGTGACAGGCGCTCCTTCAAGGCCCGCAGAACAAGGTCAGGACCTCTCCCCCACCTCGGGGCTCCAACCCAGCGGAGGGGCGTAGAGCAGCAGAAGCTTCAGGGCTGGCCACAGGCAGCCTCCCAGCAGGTGCGTCCTCGTGCTTCTATCCCCGCCCCCCTCAGAGGCACGTGCACATGCTCCTCCCCGTCCCCTCTTCCTCTCCCCAGGGAGCTCTGGGCTCAGCGCTGAGGACCCAGGAAGCAGGTGGGGGGCGGGGTTTCCCGAGAGGGCCGCGCAGGCGCGCTGGGCCGGGCGCGAGCCCCGCGGGGCGCGCGCCGGAGGAGGGCGCGGAGGCGGCGGCAGAGGGAGGCGGGGCGGGCGGGGGCGGTGCCGCCGGTGACGCGACTGAGGCGGCGGCAGCGGCGGGCGGGCGGTGGCGGCGCGTGCGGCGCGCGCTTCTCCGTGTCTCGGGAGCAGAGCCCCGGCCCCCGCCGCTCCCGCCGCCGCCATGTCGGGCCGGTCCGTCCGGGCCGAGACCCGCAGCCGGGCCAAAGATGACATCAAAAAGGTGATGGCCGCCATCGAAAAAGTGCGGAAATGGTGAGGAGCTGCCGGGGGTGGGGGTGGGGGTGATGTGTGTGGGGGTGAGGGGGCAGGGCGCGGGGCCACGGCCGAGCCAGAGCGGGGCGGGCTGAGGAGGGGTGGGAGCCGGCCGGCCGGCGCCGGAGGCGGGGGGCGGGGGGAAAGAGGAGGAAGGCGGAGCTATCGGCTGCTGCGCCTGCGCCGAGGAAAAGGACGCGCCGACCTCGGCCAATCAGCGCGCTGCCGGCGTCTGGAGCCGCCCTCGCACGTGACACTGGGCACGCCCCCTCGGAGCCGGTGATTATTCTGATCCGGGCTGCTTGGGAAGCAGGTGCATGCTTGCTGAGGCTCCGGCCTTGTCCTCTGTCCCGGGCCCCGACCCTCAGAGGGTGCCACGTCCGGAACATTCCGGTAGCCCTGGGTTCGAGGGCCCTGGCGTGACCCACCCCGCGGTCCGCTCTGGCCTTCGGGGTACCCCGGTATGGAGTGACTTTTCTTAACTCCGCTTATCTAAGGCTTTCAGCTCCTGTGAAGTCAGACTATGTTAGTGCGCCCTTTGGGCTTTAGCGCGTCTCCGCAGGATATCCACCACAACTGGAATTCGCCCCCTTTTCGAATCCTCCAAGTCTCAGTCACGAGTCCTGTATAGCAGCCTTTCCTGATTTCCCCCCCTTCCACACAGCAACTAGTGTCTCCTCCTGTTACTTGGTATCAGTTTATGCAGGTGTTTGCCATTAGCATGTAACTTCCTTGAGAGCAGGAGTTTTCATGAAATCTTTGTATCCCTGGGGCTCAGTATTGCCCAGCTTAATTTGCAAGGCTTTTTAAAATGCTTACAGCCTGCTAGATACTGTGTTAAGCAATGAAAAGACTGAAAAAAAAAGACCCCGCCTTCAAGTTTATATTCTTTTGGAGGGAACATCTAAGTACAAAATTAAATACAAAATATCTACAAAGTGACTTTCCCGTGGAAGGTGTTAGCGACTGATATAAGTAATATCAAAGGAGCTTTCGGCCCTGCCAGCTGAAGGAGGTGTACTATATGGTCTCTGAGGTACCTTCCCGCTTTAATTCTAGGATCCTTAGAAAAGCTTTCTGTAGGAGGTGGCACTTGAGTAGAGGAGATTTGAAATCTTTTGTTTTTGCTATGGAAGCTGAGACACAGGAAAACCATATGGAATTGGAAAGAGGGATCAGAGGACTCTGGTTCAAATCCTGGCATTACCACTGTCTAGCAGTGTGACTTTAGGCAAGTGGAGGAAATATCTGGGCTTCAGTTTCCTCATCAGTAAAATAAGGATATTGGATTAACCGACTTGGAAGTCCTTTCCAGCTCTAGGTTTGTGAGTAAGCAGCCCATGTTAGCACCTCTGAGCAAGGTCCTGTCTGAGCTCCAAACCTATTGTTCTATGATTCTAAGCCATGTGCACACTCTGCTGTGCCATGTTGCTTCTTGGTACTTGTCACGTATCTCCTCTCAAACAACTCCTTGCACCCATTTGTCTTGTGAAGTCAGCATCTATTGAACCCTGTTCTTTGTGTACATGTTGAGTTGGGAAATTTCTGAGAATAATCAGTCTATCCCCTTTTATTTCTTGTTTTGCTGAGGGATTTCAGAGCCTTGCATTGCCTTATTACTGCTTGGAATCAGTAGGATTTTATTTTTTTCTATTCGTTTCTGAAGTATCTCTATTGTGAAGTTGAGGGAAGTAACAGGTCAGGAAAAGGAAACTCTGTTACTTTCATGCCATCATCCTCTAACTTGTATACTAAATAAGGCCATTAAAGGTGCTGTTGTTCTGGAGCTACAAGAGAGCCTCCTTTTGACTTACCTTGCTCTAGTTGGAGAATCTGGTGTCCTGATTATTTTCCTAACCTAACCAAGGACTTAAGTGACCATGGGCAGGTCATTTCATCACTTTGTTTCTGTCTTCTGAATGTAGGTTCCCTTCCCTACCAACTCTTTTTCCCTTTTAAGAATAAGTTAATTAATAAGATGTTTGTGAATCTTTGAACTGTCTGAGGTCAAGAAGTTATCAAGTCAATTTTCAAATTAATTTAACAGTCTTCATCCGTCCAGCTAATGGAGCCATGGCTTTCCTTTTCCCCCCTCCTTTTGAACTATGTAGATATTTCTCCCACACATGAAACATATAAATACAATTTTGGCATTTTGTTTCTTATATCCTGGGCAGTGAGTTTTCCTCTGTTTCTGGCCGTATAATTTAGGGCAAGAAAAAAGGAAGAACTATTCAGATCTTCGCTTCTAGAACAGGAATTCTCCAGTTAACTGAAAAACTCTTTCAGAATTTGAGATGAACTTAGAAGATCATAGCTGCAGAACTGGAAGGGAGCCTAGAGGCCATCTAGTCCAAGCTGGGGCTCAGGGCAGAGAAGGGATGTGGCCGAGACCAGTATAATAAGTGTTAAAGGCAGAACTTGAACCCGAGTTCTCCTCACTCCAAGGCAGCACTGGACTCTAGAATCACATCTGTTCCAAGTTGTGCTCAAGAAGACTCCACTAAAGCTTAATCAAGCAGGGCTTCCAGCTTCTGCTTGCAGACTTCTAAGAGAAAGGAACAAGCATTTACATAGTACCTACTATGTGCCAGGCACTGTGCTAAGCGCCTTATAAATATTATTTCATTTTATTTTATCCTGACAACAACCCTGGCAAATAGGTGCAGTTATTTTTTCCCATTTTACTGCCAAGAAAACTGAGGCAGACAGGTTAAATGTGAATATCTGAGGCCAGATCAGAGTTCGGGTTTCCCTAACTTTAAGCCCAGTGCTCTGTGCGTTGTGGTGCCCCCTGGCCGTCTTCTTAGGCACCATAGCCCATCTCACTCCTGCACAGCCCTAACTATTTGGAGGTTCCCCTGATGTCAAGCTTAAATTTTCAGGTCCTCAGTTCTCAGTCTCTCCTCCTTAGGAAGTCCTTCAGAAACTTGGAGACAGATGCCCTATCCTTGAAGTCTTCTCTATGCTATGCATCCCTGGCTCCTCTGACCTAGGGTTCTCCTGGTCTTGATACTCTCCAGCTGACCAGTGTCCTTACCCTGTGGCTCCAGGTGAAGTCTTCGGAGGACAGTGGGGCCTCCCTGTTCCAGGAAACTGTCTCTCAGTGCCCCTCCCACTCCCCCAGAGCCTTTTTCAGAATGGCTGCCTGCCCCGACCCTTAGTGAATAAATTCCCTTCATTTAAATTAGTCATCATCATCATAACTGACATGCATCAAACACTTTATGGTTTACCAAATGCTTTTCTCACAACAACCTTCCAGGGAGGTGAAAAGCATCTCTTTCTGGTAATCACCTACAGAGAGAGAGTGAGCATTTTCTTCATTTTACAGAATAGACGACAAGTGGAGATGACCTAACAGGGCTCACATTCACAGTCATTTCATAAAGCACTGTGGGGAAGGTTTGGGAATCCCTAGCCCTTCTTTCCCTCCTGCTGTCTCACCAGTTTGAGGCCAGAAATGTTTTCTCGTGGTAAAACTGCTCAGTTACTCATCTTCAAGTACTGAGCACTCATTCTGTCCAGAGATCCCCCTCCAGGGGTGTGTGGAGGAAAAAAGAAAAGGGAAGGAGGAGTCCTGGTTCTTGGAGTCGAATTAAAATGCAGATGTACACCTGTGGAAAAGAAGGGACTGTGGAACAGTTTGTTGTTTTGTTCCTTCCTAGCAACAGCATAAGAAAATGAACATTAGTTTGCTCTCGGGGGGCAGGGGAATGTATCCCAGTACTCTCCCTGATCCCTTCCCAGTTCTGGCCTTGCAGTGGTTGAGTCTGGAAAGGTGTTTCTACTTGCTGCATTCTAGGAGAAGAAGAAAAGACTGTCCAAGTGTATTCCAGTAGAAACAGTCTAATGTTGGGAATGTGGCCAGGCATAGTTAGACATAGAACTCTTCCAAGATGAGGAGACTTTTGAGCAATATTTGTTTAGAAGAGCATTCCTAGCAGAGGGAGCTGACTGGTAAGGAGCCCTGAGATGAGAAAGTGGGAGTTCTATAACCTCCTTGGTCAGCTCTAACCAGTGCCTTCCTTTTAGGGAGAAGAAGTGGGTGACTGTGGGGGACACATCCCTTAGGATATTTAAATGGGTGCCAGTAGCCGACAGCAAAGAGGTGAGTGAGTGGGACGGTTCCGTTTTCTTGCCTTCTAGTTTCTGTGTTGAGATTACTCCTTACCCTGACCAGTTATGTGGAAGGTATGGGGTAGGCTAACTTTGCAGTCTAATGAATACTGTTTCCCTCCAGATAAGTGAAGAAGTTTCTCCTGTTGGTCTCCCACATAAGTAGCCACTGTCCTGGTCAGAGAGGGGATGGGCCTGGCGGGGACCCTGGGGAATGCACTTTGTAGAGGTGCAGCAGAAAGAGCAGGGTGGGGCTCCTGGGGCCTGCTCCCCCACTTGGTCCCTTACAAATCCTTCCTGCCCTTTGGCTGGGGCCCACCTAGTGTCCCTGGGAGAAGGTCACTTCCTTTTTTCCTGAAACCGGGGACACACGATCTTCTTTGTTTCTTGCTCACCTTCACCTCTGCGCCTGGACCAGGCAGAAGAGCTTGTTGATGATCTCTAATTTCTCTTGTCTCCAGCTTGTGTGGACACAGCTGTTTGCATCTCCTCTCTTTAGATCTCATTAGATCATGAGCTCCTTGAGAGTAGACACTGTCTTTTGTCTTTCCTTGTATGGCCTGGTACTTAGCATATAGTTCCTGGCACATTAAAGGTACTTAATAAATGTTTATTGACTGACTGATTCTTGACTGAGAGATCTCAGTGTCAGAATTGGGAAGTAAGAGCAGGCAGAGGGGAACGACATGAGCATTCTGTTCTGCTGTTGCCGCCCTGCACTCAGGCCCTCAACCCCTCTCCAGAGGGGTTCCTGCACCTTTGCCTGTGCCCAAGCATTCTTCCAAGTGACAGCAACAGACATGTCCTCCTGCTCAACTCTGACCTCTTGGTGTTTCTTTTTCCAGAAGGAGAAATCAAAATCGAATAATTCAGCAGCCCGAGAACCTAATGGTTTTCCCTCTGATGCCTCTGCCAACTCTTCTCTCCTTCTTGAATTCCAAGGTAAGTTCTAGTTGCCTTTAGTGAAGGGCCCCGTGTTCTGCTCTTGTCCTTTTAGCAGAGTGGCCAAAGCCAGGGCTTCTACAAGACGTACGTGCCTTTGTGCCCAGCGGGCAGGTTTCCAGTCCTGACCGTGCAGGAGCTGTTGAGTGGAGAAAACAGGGGAGAAAGATGAGAAGGGCTCATGCAGGTCTGTTTGGTGACGGAACTTTTATGCTCAAAACCATGCTCTGGTCTCCCCCACAGACTTAATACTGGGAGGATGAGCAGCTGCTGGGCCTGTCCATCGGTCAGGTCAGTGTGATTTCAGCAGCAGCTGAAAGTCTTGAGCATGTTTGGCCGTATAAAAGTTTTGTAGAACAGAAATCGATTTTCGCTCTGTAAGAAGGAATGTGGAATCATTTCTGCTCTTTTTTTTTTGGGGGGTGAGGCAATCGGGGTTAAGTGACTTGCCTAGAGTCACATAGCTAGTGAGTGTCAGGTGTCTGAGGCCGGATTTGAACTCATGTCCAGCTGACTCCCAAGGCCAGGGCTTTATCCGCTGTGCTACCTAGGTGCTCCTGCTCTTTTTCAAGATGACTCAAATCCCCTCTTTAGCTGGAGACCCTCCCCTTCTCAGATTAACTTCAACCTGCTCTGCTCATATCAGCATGACCTAGTTATTTACTTGTTTGCTCCTCCTTAAGCTATGGAGCTGGTTTCTCCTTTCTTTGCATGCCAGCCTTTATCACCAGGCCTGCCCGCGATGAGTGCTCCTAAGTGGTTATTGACTGAGGGACTCCAGGAAGCCCACCATACCCAGGTGGCTCTTAGGTAATCAAAGTTAAGGAATTGATGTAGTAACAGGGTCTTGCTCTGATACTCTTACTGTCTCAGGAATTGGGGAACTAATCAAGTTAGAGAGTGTGCCTAATTCCTAAAATAGGCAGAATCTGGTAATTAGATCAGAGATCTTTGTTAACTACACTCCAGAGGAGCAGGCCTGTAGGCGAAGCTTCCTTAGTTTTGGGGAAGACTGTTTGTTCTCTTCCTAGGATGTGCCAGATTGTAGGTTCACTCTTTTTTTCATTTAGTAATTGAACAACCTTTTGTTCTTTGGGGTTTGGGTTCATCTTGTGTTTTGTGATTAACATAAAATTCAAGTGGAAAATGGCTTGAGAATGAGGCCTTTTTTCATTTGAATGGAGGAAATCTTTTAGTCACCAACCTTTCTCCAATCCAGTGGTTGTACATATTCACCAAAATGCTGAGTGTAGATTGTTCTACCCCCCAAGGAAGAACTTTCTAAAAACCTGGGCTCTTCAGTAGTGGAACAGGCTGCTTTATGAGACACTGAGTTTTCTATCACTGGAAGGATTTAGACACAGATGAAGAACCACCCAGCTGTGTGATACCTTAGAGGTCATCCCAGCTGGAGGTGGTAGATTGGGTTCTGTTGTCTGAAGTCCTTCAAGGGTCTGTGCTTGGGTGACATTTTATAAAAATAGCAGGGCCACAGCTAAGAGGAAGGCTAGGATGGACATTCTCACTCTGACAGTGACCCTCCTCCTAAAGCATGAATAGCTCACAGATGTAAAGATTACAAATCCATTTAGTGTCTACACTGGCACCAAAATGTGACATGTTTGCCTTAGTAAAACAAATCTGATTACACCCTGCGGGACTTTGAGGTGCTGCTAGTAAAGGTCAGGTCCCTGTGGCCCTCTGCAGTGCTTAGGGTGAAGCTGAGCCCTTGGGACTGCTCCCACATGCCCCCTCTCTGCTTGCCCCTTACACTCCTTCCTTGGTTGAACTTGGCTTTCAGATGAGAATAGTAACCAGAGCTCCATGTCTGACGTCTATCAGCTCAAGGTGGACAGTAGCACCAACTCAAGCCCTAGCCCCCAGCAGAGTGAGTCACTGAGCCCAGCGCACACCTCAGATTTCCGAACAGATGATTCCCAGCCACCCACATTAGGCCAGGAGATCCTGGAGGGTAAGTGCTGAGACTTCACTGTGGTGCTGCTTTCCTCGGTCCAAAACGAAAGGCAAAGAGCAGAAGCTTGGATCACCCAGTATGCGTTGGGAAGAAGGTGTGGGGGGTAGAGGCACAGTACTGAAGGTGCTATGGATGGGCTACCTGTCTGTCAGTTAGATTCCCACCAGGCAGTGGTCCAGCTGTTGAACAAAGAGGTAGACAATGAACATGGGGTCGTTAATTCCAGCATGTAGTGGATTTGCAGACAATGACAGTTTTGAATATGAATATTAATATGAACATGAAATGAGAAGTGCTATGTTTGGAGGACAAAAGCAGCCTTTCTGGATGAAGAGAGCAGAATAGGGAATGTTGTTTCATGGAGGAGATGGCATTGAAGGAATTGGAAGGAGCTGGAGTAAGCAGAGCCTGGAAGGGACCATTGGACCATAGAGTTAGAGCATGGAGACCCAGCAAAGTTAGATGACTTGTCCAGGGTCACACACACAGGTAGTGTCTGAGACAAGATTTCAGTCAGTCTTCCTGACTCCAAGTCCAGGGACCTGTCCACTACCCCATATTGCCTGAAGGGTAGGCTGTGCCAGGCAATGAAGGTCCTAGGGGTCTGGGCTTGGAAATCAGAAACAACCAGCTGTATTTGAAAACAGCAAGTAATTCAGTTTGCCTGGAGCCCAGGGTTCTCTGAAGGGGAATGTTGGGAGGTGAGGTTGGAAAGGCCATGAGAGGTCAGCTTCCTTATCAAGGTCCTGTGGTTAGAATCACCTTGTTCCCTTTTTAGAACCATCCCTGCCTGCTTCTGAAGTGGCTGACGAACCTCCTACCCTCACCAAGGAAGAACCAGTCCCACTAGAGACACAGGTAAGGAAGTCATGGGATTTTCTAGTGCCCAAGAAACCCCCTAAAAGACAGTGGCTTTTTGGTATGGGGAATGGCCACGCTGAAGAAGGCTTATGGAAATGGAAGAGGTGCCTGAAGACCAGCCAGGACTGGAGACTGGGCTGTGTATTAGAAGGGAAGGGCGAGACCTCCCTGAAGGCTGACCCAGCTCCCGTGGCAGGAGGCCCAGGCCGACATTCCATCGAGGCTCCTCTAACTGGCTGCTCTGCCTTCTCCCTAGGCTGCGGAGGACGAAGAGGACTCGGGTGCCCCACCACTAAAGCGTTTCTGTGTGGAGCAGTCTGCTGTGCTGCAGACAGCATCAGAGAGCTAGCGACCCTTGGTGTCCCTACCCGCTTGGCCCCTAGCCTCTATTTATTGAGTTCTGGTCCTGGCTGTGCTGTGTTGCTGGGGTGAAGGCAAGCATTGGGGTCCAGACACTGCCTGTCTCAGCCCCCTGGGCTGAAAGACTGCAGTGGGGAAGGTGGCCAGAGGACTTGGGGTCATGGCGTCATCTTTCTGTCCCTGGTACCTGTTTGCTTGCTCCTAGGAAGAGGGCTGCTTCTTCCCCTATGCTTTCCTTGGGGGACTCAGGCTGCAGGTGGGTGGCCCCAGGGTTCCCCAAGCTCTGGGCTCTTGAAGTCCTCCAGGTGGAGCTCACACCCCTTGGGTGTCAGGCCCTACCCCTGCTTTTTTGGGAGCCAAGCCTGGAGCATCAGCCATCATCTCTAGTTGTGTGGCCTCTGCTCTTTGGGCTGAGCTGCTGCTTGGCCAGGGAGTGTAGTGCAGAGAGAAATGAATGCCCGCTAGAGAGAAAGCACTTAGGGATCTTAGTGACCCTTGTTGGAAGCTGTGGACGAAGCCTGTAGGCCCTTGGGCTCTCCCGGCAAGGGCAAGAGTGAGCCCTTTAGCCTCAGGTAGGAGTGTGGCTGGGGCTGGCACTGGAGAGGAAGGAGCAGGATTGGGTGCCGTGGCCTAATCTATAGGCTTCTGGGGAAAAGAGGGGCTTCTTCACCACCTGATTGAGCTTGGAGGCAGATCACATGGATTTCCACTTGCCTGGGCCCTGGCCTCTTCCTTAATTGTCCGTCTGCCATTAGGCTCTCCCCAGCTGCTACTCTTCCCTTTCCCTCTTTCCTCCGCTTCCCCTTCCCTGCCCCTGTCCCTTCTAGTGTGGCCCCTGCCCCCAGTCCTGGGTCAGCACTGCTGCTGCAGCTCATGTCCCAGCAAGAGTGTGAGGTTCTGGGAATACCAAGCCCAATTCCTCTTCAGCTCAGACTTTCTGGAAAGTTTCCTTTTCTTTGAAATCTGCATGTTGAATCGAACTTTGTGATATTATTTTTTGTTTAAAAAAAAGTTTTAAGAAAAGTAAAATGGGCAACTACGAGTGAAGACCTATTTTAGCACTGAATAGAATATTTTTAAAATTAAACTATTTGAGATACGCTTTGTTGTTGTGTGAGTGCTTTGCTTCTCTTCCCTGCTTCTCTGATGAAGGGCTAAAGCTCCAAGGCCCAGAGGCCTGGCATTCCCGGAAAAGGTGGTTGAAAGATGCTTCAGAGGATCAGATGTGAATGGAAGGGACCTCAGAAGCCACGTAGCACAGCTTTCCCCTCCGTAAATGAGGAAACTCAGCCCCCAGAGATTAAGTTACTTGTCTGAGATCCCACCAGTAATGAAGCCCAGTACCGAGGCAGCTAGGAGAGCTGAACCTCTGCCCTTTCAACTATGCTACGATGAGATGTAAGCTGCTTGTTAAGGGCCAGGTAGTGGGTTCTAGAGGGATTCTGATTGTGAGGGTGTCAGCAGTGAGAGTTCTCTTGGTCTGCCTTCACTGAACACAAGGAGACTAGCTTTGCAGTCTTCCAAGCCTTGGGACTGAAGAGCCACTGAAGCTGGGCCATGCATCTCAGGGCAGTTGCTTAATCCTTTTTGTCAGACCTTTAATGTTTCCTACGTGGAAACCTGGAAGCTAGTTTAGCATAACTGGGACTAAATAAAATAACAGAGTTTAGAGCTAGAAGGGACCTTGGAGATAACTTAGTTCAGCCCCCATTATTTTGTAGAAGAAGCAGCTGGCTCAGAGTAGTGGCTAGGGGTCTTATCCAAGGTCATCTGCGTGTCCCTGACAGAGACCAGACTTTGAACCTGGGTCTTTTGCCTCTAAATCCAAACATTTTTCCACTTTGTGCTTCATGAATCCTTCCTTACCCACTGCCCAACTTGCTTCTCACTAGGCCTTCCATTTCTTTGTAATTATGAATGTGTGTTACCTTAATTTTAAAACTGAAGTTACTTCCGATAAACATTTTCTTACTTTCCATCTTTTTTGGAAAGTGAACAAGAATTTCTGCCTTAGAAGAGACAGCTGGCCTCTTGGGATCCACGCTTCTCCACTTGGATGACACTTGAGAAAGCCGAGCTTGGACCACTGCCCAAACCACCAAAAAAAGGCCACAGCAGCACTGGACAATGACAAAGCATTTATTAAGTGCTGACTGTGTGCACATCATTGTACTGAGTGCTGAGGAGGAAAAGGTTGGCTGGGCTCTCAGGCAGCTCACATGCTGAAGGGGTAGACAATACTTCCGTAGCAAGTCAGATGGAGAGGTTCCATGGTCCTTAGGGTGCACCTTTAACGTTCTGATAAAATACTCATTTCTGCTACGAAACTATGTGACGATGCCAAGTACTTTGGGGGTGGGAAACTTTGTGTCCTGCATCCTAGGAGCTGGGGCTCAGGGTTCCATGGAGTCCTTGCCAGATGGCATCTGGGTGGAAGGAAGCTGTTTACCCAGACATGGCCCTGGGGGATTGGGCTTGAAGTCAGGTTTGTGCTGCCCCTGCCAGGGCTTTTTGGCTGACCTGCCTGTTCATGGCAGTTGGTGAGTACAGAAGGTGGGTGTCTTCTCCACAGTGCTTCCTCCCCTCCAGAATGGCTCTGGGGGCCAGGTGAGAAGCAGGCCACTGTTTCTGGCAGCCACTGCTGTAGCCAGGGCTCTTGGGTTCAGGGCTTTGGGCTCTCTCCCTTGGCGTCTGAGGGAGGTGGAGGTGTAGTGGTTGATAACTTGCCTGGCACAAGCTGCCTCCTTATCTCTCTCTAGGCATCTTTCAGATTCTTAGAGGCTGGCTTGCCTGACCCCAAAGTGGAGAAGAAAATGTTGAGGCTTTCTCACTGTGCAGTTAATGCAGGTGAAGGACTAATCCTTGCCTTAGGACATCCCAAGAAGTCATGCAAATACAAAAGGAAGTAAGAAGCAGCTTTGGTGGGGAGCTGGATCAATCCAGACCTAGGAGCAAATGAAGCACTTGAACCCTCTTGGGAGCTGAGGTGACCTTGTGTTTTTCAGTGAAGTTCGACTCCATGACCCTATTTGGGGTTTTCTTGGCAAAGATACTGGAGCAGTTTGCCATTTCCTTCTCCAGGCCATTTGACAGATGATGAAACTGAGGCAAACAGGGTTAGGTGACTTGCCCACGGTCACATAGCTAGTGTCTGAAGCTGAATTTGGCTCGGCGCTTTATCTCCTGCAGCGCTACCTAGCTGCTCCACTTACAGCTGGAAGGGATCTTTTAGTCCCCCTTGATTGATAAACTGAGGCCCAGAGGGATCAAGTGACTTGCCCAAGGTCACATATGCAGTATTAGCGGCAAAGCCAGGATTCCCAAGCCATCCTTTCACTCCAATCCCAACAGGCTTTCCATTATACTATCCAAAGTTTTCTTGGCTTTCACCATCTTTTCCATGGGCAAAATGAAGAAGCAGATCTGGGGAGATAAGAAGGAATACCTTTGAAGTAGTCCTAACTCTTTGTAGGCTGCTATCTGTGCATATCTGAATCCCTGGGTGAACAGACACAAGATAAGCCCCTGGGGAAGACTGCAGAGCAGACCTGAGGGTGCATGTGTTTGTTCAGTACAAGTAAAAGGAAATTATACTAATAAATAATAATAAAATTAGACTTTCTCTGTCCAAATTCCTACTTTGGAAAGTGATGCTAATTCATCAGATACTTATTGAGTACTTATATGTACAAGATACTTTTGGACAACAAATTGTACTAGTTGGATTCAGTCAAAAAGAATTTAAGGGAGTGGCTAAGTGGCACAGTGGATAGAGTACCAGCCCTGGAGTTAGGAGGACCCGAGTTCAAATATGGCCTTAGACACTTGACAATTCCTAGCTGTGTAACCCTGGGCAAGTCACTTAACCCTGATTGCCTCACCAAAAAAACCAAAAACACAAAAAGCATTTCAGGCATCTGGGGGCATAGTGGATAGAGCCCAGTTCAAAATCAGCCCTCAGACACTAGCAGTATGACCCTTAGGCAAGTCACTGCACCTATTTGCCTCAGTTTCCTCATCTGTAAAATGGGGAAAATAATGGCACTTACCTCCCAGGATTATTGTGAGGATCAAATAAAGCTCTTAGCACAGTGCTTGGCACATGGTAAGCACTATATAAATGTTAGCTATTACTAATTGTGTCAGCACTATCCGAAGAAAATGCAGTGACTTTGTGGTGTGTGTGTAGTCTAACAGGCATGATCAGGGAACACGAATCTTTATAACGTTTTGTTTTTGTTCAGTTGTGTCCAACTATTTGGGATTTTCTTGGCAAAGATACTGGAGCGGTTTGCCAGTTCCTTCTCCAGGTCATTTGACAGATGAGGAAACTGAGGCAAACAGGGTTTAAGTGACTTGCCCAGGGTAAGACAGCTTGTAAGTGTCTTAAGGCAGGACTTAAACTCAGGTCTTCCTGACTCCTGGCACAGTGCTACATCCACTTTGCCAACTACCTGCCATTACAATTTGTGGTGGGATAGAAATGCTGTTTGAATAGTGAAATGTACGCTGGGGAGAGGGCAAAGGGAAGAGACTTCTGGAAGGGATGATGAGGAAGTAGTATCTCGGAAGAGGCAACTTAAGTCTGGGCCTTGGAGAACTGACAGTGGAACAGAGAGCATTCCAAGTGAAGGAAGGAGCATACACAAATGCACACGAAAATATATTGAATACAACATTTAAATATATGTTGTTCAGTCCTTTCAGTTGTGTCTGACTCTCTGTTACCCCACTTGGGGTTTTCTTGGTGAAGTGACTTGCCCAGGGTCACACAGTCAATAAGTGTCTGAGCCTATATTTGAACTCAAGAAGATGAGCCTTCCAGACTTTAGACCCGGTACTCTATCCATTGTACCACCTACTTACCCACCAGAAATTTTTACACACACACAATTATACACACATATATTACACATATATACACATATAATTTTAATCCTATCTTTCCAGCCTTAGTTTATGGAATAGAGGCTCTCTTTGAGGACAAAAACTTTTTTTCTTTTGTGTCCCTAGCACTTAGCATAGTGCCTTGCACATAGCTCCTTGCACACAGCAGGCATTTAATAAATGCTTATGTAATTACATTGCATTGATATCATTCTGTGTAGTCTGTGCTTACTGATTTCTGAATACCTTGTTTGCTTTCCAAGATGTGAGTTTTTGTTCACGCTTTTCCTCACTTCTGCCTTCCATCTTCTGAATTCCCCACCCATTCTTTCAAGATGAATTTAGATGACTTCTTTGGTACCTCCAGGCAGTCATGATTTCCTGCTTTGGACCTTGGTGCCACTATATAGACTTACTTATACATATATAATATCAGATTAGAGTTGCATGATAAGATTAATGATGGTAGCAATTGACACACCTAGAGGACACACTCCAGGTAGTATTATCCTCCTTTACCAAGGCTTGGAGTGGTTGAAGGACTTGGCAAAGGCAGGCTCTTTCCTCTATACTATACTTCTGTATTACCCTACTAAAGTGTGAATGATATTTTAGAGTTGGGACATACTTTCCTTATTTAAACTGTATCTCTCTTGTACTCTGCACAAAGTAAAGGCTTAATAAAACACCTGTGGAATAGAAATCCATTAGTAAGCATGCTGATGACCATGGTGTGATGGTGACTGTGAGGTCTTGAATGTTCTGCAAGCAGCTCTTACTCATCTGGAATAGCTTCAAGACTGACCCACTGATAACTGAGTGTCTGTTGGGAGAGGGCCAGCTTCCCCAAGTTTAGTGTGTTGTAGAGGCCGGCTGAAGACAAGTCACTGAGGGGCTGGACCTGCTCCCCATGAAATTGTGCATCCTTGACGTTCTCAGCAAGGCAGTGACAGAAGTCCTTTCCCATCTGGATGCACTCCTTTTGGACTGTCTTCACCATGCTCTCACCATTGGGAAATCTCATTATCCTGCAAGATCCAATGGGCCTTGGTTCTCATGCCTCATTAGAACCCTCAGGCTGAAGAGGTCTAGAGGTTTTGGGGTGCTGCTGGAACCCCAAAATCACGGTACCGGGCCCTGCCTAAAAGAATTCAACTCAAATCTTCAGCCAGAGGAAAAGTTTATTACTGATAAAACATATAGGTCAGGTGACAC